ACTAGGTAATAACCACAGTTTAAGGATGGGGCTTTCAAAAATTGGTTCTATTTTTTTCTTGTCCCCACTGGCAAATTTTGATTATAATTCTATTTTCCAAATTCTTCCACTACCTCGGAGGGGACCCATAAATTATTTATTATTTATAGTGGAATAAAAAAACTGGTTTTTCTAGGTTAAGAAAAAAGGGGAAATAATTATTAATTGCTTCAAAAAAAAACAAAAAACCCAATTCCTTCCAAATAAACACAGGAAAAAGGGTTTATGGTGACAATAAACCATTCAAAATATAAATCAGCTTTTTAACAATCGGTACTTTAGTAAAGTGTTAATCTTTAATTTTATGGGTTTAATTTAACACCAAACCACATGCAGGGAAACAATTTCCTAACCTCTGTCCTCCCCCGGGGGCCCGCTTTTACATTGCCCGTTTTTACGCCCCACAAAAATTTCTTTTTTTTTAAACAATAACCGTTAAATATCCCTCAGATTAACAAAACCCCCCCCTATGTTACCATGTTAGAATAATGTAATTATGGATGTAATTAATAGGTATAATATACTTATTTTGCTACATATGTGCCCAATTAAAGGTAAATTAAGTGAAATTAAACAGTTCCAGGGGGGGCGTTTCACTGTTCTTTTAGGTTCTAAGTGTTTTTGAACGTTTTGTGATTACACGCACAAGTGTGTATAACTGGTAAATGGTTTGAGTGTACACCAGTACATTATTATATAGTACGTGAGGTTTGTATTGGACATCGGGGGGGCCCGCGCGTTAAGGAGTTACGCTTGATTATTTAAAAACTTGGTTTGGGGGACGCTACGTTTAAATTTACATAAAATGACAGGAAGTAAAATATTAAAAACCTTCCAAGTGACTAATTACACATTTCAATTTTTATGTAACCAAGCACGCTAATCTTCTAGCTGTGAATTTTCTTTCCCCCACCCAACTACTGATTCGCTCATGTTAAATCAGGGGGGAGAGTGGTGCAGGACATGAGATTCGGGGGGACAGAATGAAAGTTGGCAAAAACAAGGCCCACGAAAAAAGTGACCACGGTGAGGTCGATTCAGCAGTCAGGGTTATGGTTTACAGGGTCGGGACAGACAAGGGAACAACTCAATTTCAAGGGGGAGGGGGAGCCAAGTTTGGTTTGGATATAAGCTTTCTGTGAACAATAAAAAATAGATTAATCAGTTATTTATTATCCTCAATCTTTCGGCAGGGGGGGTGGAAGGGATAAATTTACTAACTAAAAAAACCACTCCTATGTTTTCGGATGTGTCGTAGTATAGTCCACCCCCATTCACCCTGCATTAGTATTCCTGTTTTTATGTGGTAGGTCACTAGGCAAGATGCTATCGTACCCGGACAGCGTCCCACCTTGTCACGTGCGTCTCCTTTTACTAAGCCCCCCACCCCCCCCCCCACCCCCCCCCCCCCCCCCCCCCCTTTTGTGTTGTTTACCAACTCTTGGGGTCAGAGGTCAAGGATTCCCTTTTCGCCTTTTCTTTTCTTTGGAATCCCCACGAGGACCAAGGAATTCTTGGGTTCTGAATAAACGGGAGATTGTTATGTTAATCTTTTTTGGCCCTGGAAAGATAGTAAACGTTACCAATGTCAATTTACATCGGGGGACAAATGAGTTGAGTACACCAGGCGATTAAGGAATTGAATCCGGATTTCTGTTGGGGGGACGCTTGCGCTGTTGATTGGTTTTTTGGGTTACCTGGCTTGGGAAATGTTAGCGTGAATAACATTGGCTTGTTTTTTACCATCCCCAAAGGAAATATGTGTTCAGTGGGTGGACACGGGACTGTATCTGCGACGATTCCTGGGGGCATTGCTTTTTTTCATTCATGAAATTTTATTTTAACTTTTTTAAAAATTGATATGGAGCTATCAAAAGGTTTGTGGGATAATAGGGAGAATTAATAATCTCTCGAAATAGGTGATAAAGTATATCATTTAGGGCCCTGGGACGCGGAAGCATCAGTTTTAGGGGCATTGGTTGACAAAATCTAACAGCCAACCAATTACCATGGCAAAGGAAGCTTCGAGGGGGGGGGGGGGGGGTGGGACGTAATAGGGCTAGGAAGTGAATCATTGGGGTGGGACTATTTTTACAACTTTACTAAAACTAACTGGCGTTTGTGCGGGTTGTTTTACTGTTATTTTGCGACGGAGGGCTGGGCCTAAAACTTTTTAAATTGATGTGACACTAAGAGAACGCCGCCAAATTTTCGTGGGGGCCAAATTTTTCAGGGAAGTTTGTAAACATACCGAATAAAAATCCGGGATTCCATATGGAGGGGGACCAAACGGGACGGTGGGGGACAACCTTACGGGATGGATAACTTTCTCTTCGTTTTTATCAAGGTTTGCTATTCTTCTTTTCGGGGGACCACTCCAGGAAGGCATTTTGTCAAGGGGCCGTCAGGGTGGGGGTAATCCCATTTCGGGCCAAATTCCCCTTATGGCAGGGTTCCCAAAAACAGAAAAAGGGCATGTTGTTAAGGAGGTTTTTTTCAAAAGCTTCCCGCCCAGCCTAAAAACCGATAAAATATCGTAGAATTTTAATGTAAACACGAGGGTTGGCGCCGCTTCCCTCCAGGGGGATAAATGGACCTGGCTAGCGGGGCTCCGGAATCCGAAAAACACGATTTCAATATTTCATTTGTGGCCAAACCATAGGTTGTAAAAAATAACACGCTCGGCAGTTAATAAACAACAACCACGCCAACTACCCCTTATTAATTTAAAAAATTAAATTAAATTATAAAGTAAAAATTTCTTAAAAAAAACCATTTGTTTGATTTCTTGTAATTTTTCCCAAAAATAGATCTTAAATTCTGGATCGTGGGCGGGATTAGAATAAAAGGTTTTCAACAAATAAACTTGGCTGCGGCTTTTACTGTATTTTTGATATTTTGTTTTCAATTATTAAAAATGATTAACGGATAAAACAGCCAACTTTTTAAATAACATAAATAAAAATAATCTTGTAATTGCCCCACTTATTTTAGCATTTTGCGGTTTGCTGGACCTTTAACTATATTTTTGTTTAATGGTTTTTATAATTTTTATTTTTTTTTCCAATAGTTTCTGCTTGGGTTAAAATGCACTAACACAATATTTAAATTTAAAACTAAAATTGATTCACGAGGGGTTTTAAAATTACTAAACAATAAATGGTTTAACATTCCTTTTAGTCATTTATAAAAACCAAAAAAAAACAAAAATTTACAATTGGTTTAAGGGACTTTAGGTTAATTAATTAAAAAGGGGGTTAGTGATTGGAAAATTTGATAAAAATTATTTAGTTGGGACAAAAAACAAAAAACAAAGAAAAGTTTTAAATATAGCTTGTTTAATTAGAATGCTATGAAAATACGAAAATTTGATTTATCTCCTTTTGGGGGGGGGGCTTCAGTGGCTTAAATTAAAAGGAGCCGCCCGCGCCGCGGCCATATATTTTTTTGTTAGTTTGATCAATATATGGGAAGAATTCGAACGGCGCTAACCTTACTTCTCAGATAAACAAAGTTTTAGTTATTAACAAATTTAAACCAATAAACTACGAGTTCAGGCGTAAACCCCAAAAATGTTAGTGGCTTCTAAATTTTGTTATTGTATTCATTGATTAATTGAAATTGCCCTAGCCTCTGTCTATGCAGTTTTTCAGGGTGTTTGGATATGTAACTGTGGCGTTGGGGGATTACTTGTGGGACTGATTTAATTTATTGTTTGACTTTGGGTACCTGATATTAGTTCCAGGGTCATTAACAATGCCGTCGATTTTTTCCGCCGATTTTGCAATAATTTTAAATTTGGGATACATATTCAAAAATGGTTGTAAACTTTGTAAACTTATGATTTGATCAGAATCGCCTTTAAATATTTGTATGACAAATAAAGTAACAAATTTTTCCGAAGTCGTTGGAAAAAAATTGATTGAGGTGATAATTCTGGGACTCCTATGAAGGTCTGGTTACGTGTGTGGACCGTTTGGATGTTAATAACTTTTTTTACCTATTTTCAAAAATATAACAAGGCCGTGGGCCACCATCTTTATGGGGGGCGCAAAAAATCGTCGTTTTTGAACTGTAGGGGACTATTTGGGCTAAACTTAACTGAGGTGCCTTCGCACGTTTTTTTGCTCTAAGGGGGTAGGAAAAAAACTTTATTTTTTTAAAGGGTGATTTTTACCCGGGGGCCATTTATCCTTTTAAAAATTTCACCTAAATTTTGTTACACATTTTTTCGGGAAATGGGGGCGCCAAAACACGGTTTTAGCGCCCACTGCCCAAATAAAGGGGTAAATAAAAAAGTTTAATCCATTTCTTACCCTAACAAAATTTTGCTATAAGTTTAAGTCTGTTTTTTTTTTTTTACTTGTGCTTCTTGGCTGCTTCACACCCCCTTATTGGGGTTGTCCTCCTAATCGGTCAGGGGCCTGGAGGGTTGCGGTTTCCATTGTTGATTTAGTTAGTACTTTCCAATTTTTACTAGGTTTGCTGTCCATTCTGTGAAGCAGGCAGGGTACCAAATTATAGTTTTGGCTTGGTAAGTTGCTTCACTGTGGGAAGGTAGTTACTGGGTTCACTTAGAGTCTAATTACTCTTCTAGTGGTCTCATTTTTATCTGTTACCTTTGTCAATTTTTTAAACCATTCTTTTCTGTTATGTGCCACGGAAAATTTATTTCAATCAATGAGTTTTTTGTAAAAATCTAAATCCTAACTGAACCTCCATATAATTCAATAGTTCTTACAAAAAAATGGAGATTGGGGGACGAGGCCCCATTTCTTCATCATCAGCAGTCGTTAAAGTTCTGACAAGAAAAAAGATTTTGAGGTGTGATTTCTAAACCAATTAAGGGTCTATTCTTTTCCATTCAGTTAAAACCCAATGATTGATATTTTTAATGATTAAAAGGGTGTATTTACTAAAAACAATTTTGTCCTTGTTTGTGATACCTATGTACATTTCAGGTGAAGAAAATGGAACGCAGTTGGCACTCTGGGCCTGGGGACATACTTGTTGATAATTGTGCAATCTGCCGTAACCATATCATGGATTTGTGCATCGAATGGTCAGGCTAATCAAGCAAGGTCACACCAGTGATGTGAGTTAAATAATTTGTTTAGAGTTTACGATTAATAAAAATTTTTGAAAAAGTTTTTAAAAATGTTCTACCACTATTATTTTTTCGAGGAGTTAGTAGTAAAGATCAAGTTATATAAAATTATTGATTTCATTTCTCTAGAAACTACAAAACATTCAACCCTTAAATCTCCTCTAAGTCTAACTGGAATACCTCAAAACAGGGGGTGTACAGCATTGGGGGTGTGTAAATCATTCGTTCCACTTCCACTGTTATCTCACGGTGGTTGAAGACCCGACAGGTGTGTCCTCTAGACAACAGGGGGGACTGGGAGTTTCAGATATACGGGGGCCGATTAGACATTCATTACTTCAGTGTTGTTACCCACCATGAAGTTGCCTTGGGGGTGTTGAGCCTTGTATGATAGTTTGTGGGGGAGAAACCCAAATGAATTGAATGGGTTCTGAAAAATATGATATCAAAGGGGTAATCAAGGGAAAATGAAATCATTTATTGCTAATTCTACTGTATGGGACGTAAATGGGGGGAAAATGGGAACTTTTTTTAAAAGGGGAAAATGGTCCCTTTACTAATTCCATGGACTTTCTGGATTTATGTTTTCAAGTTTAAAGTTTTGGAAAGTTATTATTTATGGCAACAAGGGGGAAGTTGTTTTAATTTTAATCGGAAAACTTGCCTGAAATATATCAACAGCTTAATTTTATGTAGGTTATTCATTCTGCAAAAAAACGAAAAGTAATGCATGTTAATTTGTATATTTTTTCAGTTGTTATTTTTTCTATCTTATTACAATTTGATGCCTATTTATTCTGCATTTCTGTTCATTTATGATTTAGCTTTAAATGACAAAGTTAACATCAATTCTAATTTAATTGACCATACACTGGCACGCTGTATTATGTAGGTGGGATGTAGGTATACATAAACAATTCAAAAAAGTATCTATGGAAAGCGAAATGGGTTGATTAAGTTTAGCTTTTTCGGCCCAGAAATATTGATTGAAAATTGGACTCTGATTAATATCATGATATTGTGTTATAGCAGTGCAGTCAGGAATGAGTAAACGGGTTGCAGGACAAAGAAGCTCACAGACAGAAAATTGGCAAGACGGGAGGAGGAGGAGGAGGGGCAGGAGTGTTTTGCAAAGGCTGCAGGGGACAATGTCATCAAAACAACGAGTGTAAGTCAGCTTTTTAGGGGCCATAATCGTCTTGATTTGCATTCGAACTCTATTCTGTTCTACAGCCCGATCAGGGGATCGAAATTTGATAACAATTACTGTGTTTTCTTAAAGTCCTTATCAAAGGGATGTATTTTGCTATCTACAGAATCAAGGACTGCTAAAAAGAAAGCCCCCTGCAAGTGCTAATGGTGACAGTGTAAGTACTGGGTTATCTCTTTGTCGCTGTTTTATCCGGTTTTCTAAATGAGGGTCATATTGAATGATGTGGTCTTAGAACATCTTTTCATACGTTTGTAATTAATTACTAATCAATTTCAGAAAGGCGGTCTATTTATGGATTTTTCCGGTTTCGGCGCGGTTTCCCACCGGCACCTGGCTCCCAGCCTCAATATTCAACCCCAGTTTAACTTTCCCTAAAATCAATGTCACTAAACGGCGGGACACCAAGCAATTGTTCACTTTTCGGAGCAAAAAGCACAGATCAGAAACTCCGGTTGAGGAACAGAAGGTTGAAAAGTACGTCAAAACAAATCCCATCACAGTTTTTCAGCTGGTATGGATAAAAAAAAACAATCCAGCGGAGAACCTCATTACCAAAATCAGAAAGGCAGATGCCAAACCTGCTGACAATGACGTTTTCTTGAAAAAAACTGAAGAAAACTAAATCAGTCTGTGCTCAAAGTTTTGCTAAGGAGCATGTGGATAAAAATCCGTTTGTTAATTCTCACGGGACAGTATTTAGTGACTATGAGGAAGCACCTGAAAAAGATTCAGAGCGATCAGACAGTCCAGGGAATTCTTCCCCTGAGTTCAAAACTGTCCCAACAGCGCACCAAAAGAAGAGAGCCCCACCCAAAGTAGACAGTTCCTCAAGCGACGAAGTAAAAGTAGTGGAACCCCGTATCCGAGGGGACAGTTGAGCCCGTGAAAAAACCAGCATCAAAAACCCATTTTTCTTTCAGCACGTCAACAGCAGCCACCCCCCGCGTTTCCATTCGGCGGCCGGGCGTCCACCACACCTAAGTGGTCGTTTGGTTTCGAGTGAGGGGAAAACAGCACGGGATTCGGGCTTTAAAACCAACCACATCCGCAGCAGGATAGTACTCAACCCGGGTAGTGGGGGGTTTTAGTTTTAAACCTTCCTCTGCTTCTTTTTACCCCGGGTAATTCCTTGTTTGGGAAAAACCTGCGGATCAACGTCTTTCACAGGTAATTATATTCGGGGGAAAATCTTTTATTTTACTCGATTTTTGTTGAATGTTTGTCTATAACAAACAAATTTTTGCTATCTTACAAAAGTAACAAAAACAAATCTGCTATGTGAACAATTTAAAATTACTAGAAACTGCACTATAATATTTTTTCATCTCCAGGGGTTTGGGGGTTAGTGGGGAAAACCAGCCGACTCTCAAACAGAGCAGAAAGAAGAAGAGAAAACCAGGCTGAGGAGGAGGACACCACCTCAAACCTGAAAAGGTAGGTGGGTTTGTGTAATTTGTTCCGGACACGCACTCCCCACCACCAGAATAAATTGAAAATGTTTCAAATTCTTTACTGTTTGCTGTTAGAAAGTCATCGCTAAGGTTTTAAAAATGGGCCAATTAAGTACATTACTTTTAAAAAGTTTAAAATGTCTACTAAGTTCACCCAATAATAAACTATTAAAAAGTCTATTTTGAAACCCTTAACCAGGGTAATCACGTAGATAAGGAAGCTTTTGTACCACATCAAGGTGTAAACTTTTCTTTCCTGAAAGTCTGGAGGGACAGCTGGAACGAGAAGGGGGGGGACTGGGTATTTGCTAATCTTAAGGGGGTTAACGGAAAGGTACTGTGAAGTGTGTGATGTTGTGATGTGTGGATGTGTGATGTGTGATGTGTGATGTGTTGATGTGTGATGTGTGATTGTGATTTGTGAGGTGTTGTGTGTGTGGATGTTTTGATGTGTGATGTGTGATGTGTGATGGGTGTGATGTGTGATGTGTGGGTGTTGTGATGTGTGATGTGTGATGTTGGATGTTGTGATGTGTGATGTGTGATGTGTGATGTGTGATGTGTGGTGTGTGGTGTGTGGTGTTGTGTGATGTTGTTGGGTTTTTGTGGTGTGTGGTGTTGGTGGTGTGGTGGGGTGGTGTTTTGTGGTGTGTGTGGTGTGTGGTGTGTTGATTGGTGTGGATGTGTGATGGTTGTGATGTGTGATGTGTGAATTGTGATGTGTGATGGGTTGATTTTGTGATGTGTGATGGTGTGATGTGTGATGTGTGATGTGTATCGATGTGCGATGTGCGATGTGCGTGATGTGCCGATGTGCGATGTGGGATGTTGTGATGGTGGTGATGTGCGATGTGTTGATGTGTGATGTGTGATGTGGGATGTGTGATGTGTGATGTGTGATGTGTGATGTGTGATGTGTGATGTGTGATGTTGTGATGTGCGTCTACTGTTTTTATGGAATTTTTGGGTTGGACAAATTCGGGAGCAAGATGTTAGTTGGGGGTTGGAAACAAATCATTCATATTCCTTTTATGGGCTATTATTCAGTAACCAGTTATCCACGTTGGATATCACACCCCACACTCATGTCAGGTTTTCAGCTGCTAATAAGGAACGACACTACGATGGGAACAGTTGATTTCTGAAACACCCACTTTGCTCCATGAAACATTGGCCTGTTAGCAAAAGCGGCAAGAAACGGGCTTGTTGATGGTCGTCATGGGAGGTAGGTGTCATAAGTCATTTAGTTGATACTTAAATTAACATGGGCTTAAGATCACGTGATTGAATATTACTGTCCATTAATAAAACCATAATAAATATACTTTTCTCTTGTTAACTGGCCCAATTTTCGTTTCAAATTTTTAACCCTTTTTTTAAAACTTCCCGGGTTTTTCCCCCAAACAGGTCTCCCCTTTTTTTTTACTTTAAAAATTTTTTAGGGGGGGCGGGAAAAAAAAAAAATAGAAAAAAAATTTTTCCTGTGGAGGGGAATAAAGGGACAAAGTTGGGGGGGTTTTTTTTTACGTTAAAAAATTTAACAGGGGGGGGTTTTAAGAAAAGGGGGCCTTCTGCAACGAGAAATTTTAGTATTCGCAGTAATTTTTAAAAATTTATTAATTTTAATTTGTTATTTTAATTTTTTTGCTCAATTTTTTAGGTCGTTTTTTTTCACCCCCAAATCCCTTGGGGGCATTTTTTTCGTTATTGGGGGAAAAATTGTGGAAAACCCAAATTTTTGAGGGGGGAATTTTGATTACGAAAAATTTTTTTCTCACCCTATGTTTGGGTTTGGGGGTTTTGTTCCCAATTTCTAAAAAAACCCGTTACCAGTTTAGCGGCCTTTAAGGGGCCTCCGGGGAGCAATTTTTTAAAAAAAACCCCCTCCCCCGGGCCCTAGGGGGGGGATTTCGTCATTTTTTGTTCATGTACCCCTTGAGAAAAGTAGTTAATCAATTAGTAATTTTTTCGGACTTACTTTTATTTTTTTAATTCTTTATATTCCCCCTGTGTCAAACGTTTAAAAATAAATTGGATTTTTTTTTATCTTTTTAAAAAAAAGGGAAAATCACTAGGTTTTACTGCAGCTTTTTTTTTTTAAAGAATTTTTTTGTGGGGTTTTGTTTAAAGAAAAGGGGGGAAATCTTTTAAAATTTTTTTTTGAAATGATGTTTTCTTTGCGGTTTTTTAAAAAGTTTTTTTTCAGGGCAGGTAGGGAAAGTTTTAATTTTATGTTTTTTATCCCCCCCGTTTTTCCGGTTTGCCGTTTTAAATTTTCCCAATATTTTTGGGGGCGATTATTTTTTTTCAAGTAATCGAAAAAACGTGGGTTTTTTGATCTCCAAAAAAAGGGAAAAAAAAAAACTATTTTTTTGGTCTTGTTTTATAACTGAGCTAAACGCCCTTTGAAATATTCACGTGGGGTGTTTGGGCATGGGGTTCCCCCGTGGTGGGGGGGGGGGGGGGCTTGTTCCCCGTGGTTTTTGGGGGTTTTTTGTACCCCGGGGTGTGGGACGATGGTTTACTTGGTGTTTGTCATGTTCACCCCTTGGGTTTCAGGGTTTTTGGGGGCCAGTTTTTTTTTTTTCCCCCGGCCAAAAACAGGTTTTCGGGAACAAAAAACCCCCAAAAATTTTTGATTAAAAAAAACCCCAAAAGTGGCTGTTTTTTTAACCATTTTTTTACTATTTATTGATAAGATTTTTAAAAAATTTTTTATTATTACAA